CATGTCTTCGTTTAGTGATCAGCGGAACGCTGTAACTAAAAAAGTCCCTGCGGCACTTCTTTAGACTCCACCTTCCTTGTGCTGCTTCCAAAAGTTTCAATTGCCTGTACTTTCGAAGATCTTCTAGCAAAGCTCTGCAACTGGTATTGACTACCAGTCGCTCGAGATGTGATGCAGTCAGATCCAGCCTCAGTGCTCTTCTCTCTAGCAGATCCCTGGTAGCTTTCGAATTTCGTTTCAAGTTCCTTATGCGGAGCATTGAGGCACTTTCACCAGCTCTCAGTCCTCTAGGAAGCAGGTCGGTCCTTCGTTGTGTCTTCCTCTATGGGCCAGTCATAGGCGGTTAGGAGCTCCTCCACTCTACGCCGTCATATATGACTTCTCTCCTTCCTCCAACATGGTGGCAGATCTTTTTTTCAGCTTTCGGCTGTCGCACTTTTGCTTGAAGGAGGCGGTGATCTAAGCCACTACTGAAGGATGATACCATTGAGACGTCCAGTAAGCACCACCTTTGGTTGCTGAAAATGTGGTCGATCTCCGCATGAGTCGTACAGTTGGGTCTCCCATATTCACCGCCAGTCTGTCGTCATGAAGATGGAGTTGCCATCAAAAGTCGTGCGGCAGATAAGAGCCCAACAAAACGGTTAATTCTCGTTCTGGAGTCCTGATCCAAATCACCCGAACCCCTTCTTTTAGTATCCCGATATTCGCATTAAAGGCACCCACGACTGATTTATAGGAGTTTTTTTTGTGGATGACTCCCTCCAAACCCTCATAAAAGCATCAAGTTCCGAATTATTAGCTGCTGATGTTCAGAATAGCAATATATGATGGTTATCTGATGCAGAGGACGGAGTCGAAGGATAGCCAGGCGAGGTTAAGATATTATGTGAATCGACAAGATGGACAACAGATGGGTGTGCGACAAATCCAACCCCTCCGACGTTCCGTGGAATTTTTTCAACACAAATAATGAGTGTGCCATCACTCGGCTGCCTCACGTCCGTCTTCCTGGACTTTGTTTCCTGCAAAGCGATTACGTGGTAGTTGATGCCTCCTGTAGCTTCGAGAAGGGCGTGAAGATCGGCGTTGGTGGAGATTGCTTTGGCGTTGTAGGTGCAGAGAATGCGACAATCTCCATAGCGAGTCATTGACCTGTCTTTTTGGTTCGCAATCCATGGCGTCGTGTGCAACCTGACAATGGTCTTGATGACATCCGACGCCGTAGATATGATCGAGTGTGCAGGGCTTCTTTTTCTCTTATATGCTCTGTGAGCATTAGAACTTTTCACCGAACAACAGAGCCTTGCCAAGGCCTGCCAAGCTAAGGAACCTGCTAGCATCACTAAAATCTACTATATTGCATTTAAAAAAAAGTCCACGTGATTTATATTCTTGCAATTTTAGATAGGCGCTGTATTATCACATATTCGTGGCAATTGGGAACATGCTGAATGCAGTGTTTGCCTGGATGAGCACACTACATACCTGTTCGACTTTGGCTGTCACCACATGGTTTGCCGTCAGTGCTTCTTGGAATGCTTAACTGTAGCACTTGAAGAAACGAGGTTTATCTTCCGACCTCCATTTGGATACACAGTCACGTGTCCATATCCCGGATGTGAACGTATGTTGTAAAAAAAA